GGACCGCCGGGGCCAGCGGGGCCAGCGGGCCGCCCTCCCGGGGAGCCACCGCCACCGCCAGCGCCATGGCGCGACACCCGATCGGGCCCGCCGCCGCTAAATATAGCCCGGGCCCTGGTGGCCCCTGGTGGCCCCGCGGTGGCACTGGGGGGGGCCTTGGAGGTGGCCCGGGGTGGCCCTGGGGTGACAGTGGAGGTGGCCCTGGGGTGGCACTGGGGTGGCACTGGAGGTGGCTCGGGGGTGGCCCTGGGGTGGCACTGGGGTGGCACTGGGGGGGGCCTTGGAGGTGGCCTAGGGGTGGCACTGGGGGTGGCCCCGTGGTGGCAGTGGAAGTGGCCCCGGGGTGGCACTGGAGGTGGCCCGGGGTGGCCCCGTGGTGGCCCTGGGCTGGCCTGGGGTGGCACTGGAGGTGGTCCCGTGGTGGCACTGGGGGTGGCTCGGGGGTGGCCCGGGGTGGCACTGGGGGGGGCACTGGAGGTGGCACTGGAGGTGGCTCGGGGGCGGTCCCAGGGGGGGCACTGAAGGTGGCTCGGGGTGGCCCCGGAGTGGCCCCGTGGTGGCACTGGAGGTGGCCCTGGGGTGGCACTGGGGGTGGCACTGCGGTGGCACTGGAGGTGACCCCGTGGCAGCCCTGGAGGTGGCCCGGGGGTGGCCCTGGAGGTGTCTCGGGTGTGGCCACCGGAGGGACAGTGTCACCCGGCGGGGACAGGACAGGACAGGAGGTGAGGCCGGACCCCCCCGGTGTCCCCGCGAGCCCCGGTGGCCCGAGGTGGGGACAGAGCGGCCGCGGCCACGTGGCCCGGTGACGTCACGCGGGGACAGCGGGACCGGTCTGTCACCCCCGGGGGGGGAGGGGACACTGGGGAGGGGACACTGCCACGGGGGGAGGGGACACTGGGGAGGGTGGCACTGCCACGGGGGGAGGGGACAGCTCCGTGGGCTACCGGGGCCGTGCCCAAGGAGCCACCCCGGGCACGGTGACAGTGGCGGTGACAGTCACGGTGACAGTGGCGCTCGGGGGGTGACAGCGGGGTCCTCCCGGTGTCACCGCGGTCCCTCAGGGCCCTGCTGCGACCGCGGGGGCGGCGGGGCCCGCCCGGGACCCTCCGTGACCTTCCAGAACCTTCCGGGACCCTCCGGGACCACCGAGAGCCCCGGGAGCCCAAGCCCCGCCCCCTTCGCTTGGGCCCCGCCTCCTTCCCTTAGACCCCGCCCCAAACTCCGCCCCGTCACCCTCAGCCATCGTGCCTTGACGCGCATGCGCACGGCGCTGCCCGCCGCGCATGCGCAC